ATTTACCTGTCTGATGTGCAATAATAATAATTTTAAAAAAAGTAATCATGATACATGTATAAAAATGATTATGATGCATTTTTGCTTTTGAACAGGACGTCGGCTGAAAAAGAAATGAACATTTTCTCAATGAAATATGAAGAAAAAATGTAAATTATGAACATATTTACTTGTATAATTAATCAAAACCGAGAATTAATATGATAAATGAAATATTTTAAACAATTTCAGGTAAGTGCATGCAGTTTTCAGTTGAGTGAACATGAGAACAAAAAAATATGCCATAAAAATTGAAACCTCTTTCAGAAAGAATTTGTTTTACCTGTCGTAAAGTTACTGAAAGCAGTGACGAGAATAAATAGTTTATAGTTATTACTAACATAATTAAAGTTTACAATCTCTTTCTTGAAGAGAGAAAGTTGCGCAAGAGAAGATATTTGCGGTATTTCCATCTCAATATAGTTTGCTAGGCATTTATGCACATAGACCGATGCGATTGTGAATAACAATTTTTCCTTGTCATTATTCATGCACAAAACCCTATTCAAATCAAACCCAATCATTTAGATAGGTGTTTGAACAGCTTGTGTTTGAGTATCCTGTGTTAAAAAGAAGGGTATTCAATTGCCAAAGATCATTCGATAGGAAGAAGAGATAATAATTTCAAAATAAATCCCCATGCATGGATTAATTCATCTGAATGTCTCATTGAATTGTCAATACTCTGAGGATCACATTTGACCTTTAATTCTATATTGAAATGCAGTTTGGTTCATATAGCATTGTCACAAGAGATCCTTAGAGATCGTACTACGTAAACCTTGATGGCATTTAGCTTTTTCACCCATCCATTTTTACTTATGAATTTAACCATACTAGATATTTTTCTTACAAATTGGGCATAAAACCGACTTCAAATACTTGAACAATATATGCACGGTTCATTTAAAAACAACACACATTTAATTATACGTCTCGTTGTAGGATGGAAAATAACGTAAAAAAGCAACAGTTGAATACAATTAAACATTTTCAAAGAATTTGTTGCTAGTTATTGAGCTTTTGTGTTTGCGACTCACATTTCATCGTGATACAGATTAATATTACAAAACAATAAATCAAATATCATGTCTTGCGTAAACATAATTATTGAAAAGGGAAGAATTAAGATTTAATGTGAAATTGACTTGAAATCTTAGACATATGTATCTATAGATAAATGATATGTTAAATATGAAAAACAATATCTAAAGTTGATACAGTTATAAGTATTAAAAGAGATTTAAGGATGATTCGTTGTAGATTTTTTAGGATTCCCCTCCCCCTTTTAATGTTTTTGGAAAGTCACCTATTTTGGAAGAGTGGAGAGTTGGTGTTTGGTGTGGTTTGTTGTACTGCCATGTTGGGGTTTTTTTGTGATTTTGTTATCCTTTTTTCTGTATTTCAACTTAAAATTTGAAAGAAAATTATTATTCACTTATATTAATAGAAAGACCGGGAAACTTTTGTGTATTGTTTAATTGAAGTTTTTCATTTAAATTTAAAACAATATCGTTCATACACCATGAGAGTTAAAATTCCCCAAATCGTAACTTTTTTACTAGTCCATTTTGTACGATCGCTTGAATAAAAATTCCAAGCTAGTATGAATTTGTAAAATTGTGAGTATAAACAGTATAAAAATAAGATGTGGTGTGATTGCTAATGAAACAACACTCCACCAGAGACCAATTTACCCAGAAGGTAAGAAAATAAAGGTCAACGTACGGTATGGTTTAAATGAAATCCTTGGTTTTATGGATCACAAATATTCAGCGGTCATTTTTCGCTAAAATATCCTTTCGATTTGCTAAAATTTGCACTGGCGACTTTAGGACTGATATTCACTATCTTTGTACCAGTTCGTTAATTAGAAAAGGAAGACTGTGGGGTGGATGTAGATTGGTCAATAATAATCTCGTCAAATACAACTGGAAACAATCAAAATGAAGGAAAAAATAATTTTGAATACCAAAAACAAGTGCTGTGATGTAAACTGAAATATACGACAAATCCGAAAAATCGGATAATCTGCCGATATTTATTCGCCCTTAGTCTAAAATCCTGTCTAGTCGCGTGCAGAAGAACAATCTTGAAGAAGTTCAACTAGTTCATTCGTTTTACAACCCATATTAACATGTGAATGCTACGTCTGCTGCAGAAGTAAAAACACGCGATGAACACCTTAAGAAATGTCGAGACTTTGAAGTAAAAATAAGGCTATCATGCAGCATGTGTATTTAATCAAATATTCCATTCCCGGTAAAAATTGTACCAATGATTAATTTAGGTTGTAGATTACATAACAATAGTTAATCATTGTTATTTTCAACTAGGTAGAATTTTAGAATTCTTTCCAGTGATTGGTAGGCTTTTTACTGCACGATCTATCAACGACCGGGGAAGTTCGTTTGATTAATGGCGACAAGCAAGTGCAGAATAGTTTATGCATACCGATTCTGCTTGATTAATTCGACATTTTAGAAAGAAAATTTGTTTCGGTTTCTGAATTCAGAAAACTAATTTTATGTTTGAACGAATGGTACAAATATACTGATGCTGTCTTTGCACGTGACTTCCAGAATCCTATCATGTGACTTTCGTAAAGCATTAAAGGCGTTTACCTAACTATAAATTGGCTATCAAATTAGAGTTACGTTTACGAAACTAATATGGTCATTCAATTTAATAAACCGACTAACTTGGAGGCGAAAATCGTTTTCTTACCTTTTGTATTTGGTATGTTAAATAGTATAGATAAATGAATACACTAATATGTCATCTATATTTAAATTACTTTCTTCATGAAAAGACTATAGCATCATAAACAAAGTACTATATAGTACAAAACACGTAATAAAATTAGTAATCGTGGGAACTTTTTACAACAGGTGTCGATGTACTAAAGTAAAGAAAGCACTGAAAAAATGGTAAACCATGAAAAATGTAAAATATATTGTTCATATTTTCAAATTTATGTCTTGACAGGATACTAATTAGAAATTTTAAGTTAGTCCAAAGTTTAGGAGCAAAGTGTTGAAAACAACATCAATAGATAACTTGTTTAATAGAGATTCAGATTTCACAATGAAAAGAATTTTATGCGTAACATAGGACATAACAAAGTGATTGTAATATATGTGAAAAAGTTATAAAATTATGTTAAAAGCCCATATAATGTAAGGAGAGATTTTTCATTTCAGATATATTTTTCATAATTTATTATATACCTTACAACGTCACGCCTTCAAAGGCATTTATACCTGTATAGTGGTTTGTTTTTACATTACACAATTAACGCTGCATAAAAGATGTATATTAGTAAAGATTACAAATATTCCCCTTCTCATTTCCAAGCTACCAGATACGAAAAAATAATCGAGAAGACCCTTAGCACTTCACATTTACTTTGACATGAGAGAATACCTTAAGTTCAGAGCAGTTTAGATATGTAATCAAACAGTTTTTAGATAAATACCGAGATAACGTTCTATTTTTTTGGTTGGCTAAAGCTGGGTTGGACTGTATGTAAGGAGGACCTCAAATATTTTAAAGCATTACAATATAACTTTAAAATACTTTCAATCCATGATGTCGATAAAAGACTTTGTCTATCTAAACGAGTCTGATACTAAATCAGCAAATATCATATTTAAGTCAAACGGTTTTTTTTTTACATGCCTGAATGCCTTATCAAACTTTCAAATTATTACTATTCAGAATAATATTTTCATCTCATTTATAGATCTTGTGTTTATCAACCAAATACGGCTATAAATCTTAAAATTTAAAAGCTAAAGAAACTTATAAGGATGTAATTTATTATCTTTTACTTGGCTCATACTTCAAAAACTATGAAAAAATCTTGTTACATTTCGTTATTAAACATTTAAGATGAATATAAAGAATGTAAATGTTTCAGCAAGTTTTCTGGGCTACAAGGAGGACTCTTTATCTTCTAGTTATGCAATAGCCACATGGACGAGTCCTTTAAATACTTCAAAAATACTTTAGATTCTTTAAAAGACCCTTTAAAGTGTACTTTCTTGTAAAATCATTGGTGAGAATTTTAACAATTCAAAGCATAACGAGGAGTTTAAAAGTGGTTTGATACAAATTGATTGAATACAGAAGTGAATAATCTGACCCTTGAACTAATATAATGAGGGACACAGTGCCCGATCATTTTCAGCACTGATACCACATTATCCACTTCAGAGTAATAATGTTGTGATATCTTTGGTAATCTCTATGACTGTGTACTTTTGACTATATGAAAAACTAAACATGTTATAACTACATGATAAGACAGTTTCTGAATGGAAGATTTTCTACTCGAAGAATATATTACCTTAGCTGTATTTGGCAAAACCTTTCGAAATGTTTGGTCCTCAATTATCTTCAACTCCGTACTTTATTTGGCATAACTTTATTTATTCGAGCGACACAGACGAGTCTTTTGTAGACGAAACTGGTGTCTTTGATGATTGTGTTTTATATCGTATTGCAGGACTGGAATGTACATATAAACATTGCTTTTATCAGTGTTAAATAAAGAAACGGGATACATGTGAATAGGGAAGACAACAACATAAATTTTCCTATAAAAACACAACATCGTGTAATTTGGCAATTTATAGGGAATAGAGGGATGTAGAGCTTGATAACAACATTTTTGACAACGTCGAAAACTTGTAGCTTCATTTCCCATATATTTTTTTTTAAACTTGAATTTCACCCAATCATTCACGTGAATGAATTTATAACCAAGTGAATAGAAACTTGCATCATACGTGATTTCTATGCCATTATTGTTAATGATATTCACACGCTGTTGGCGGATTAACTTTTAGCTGCCAAATATGTTTGATTTCCCTCTACAGGCAGTAGTGTTCAATGCAAATTAAAAATCATGTACGATAAATATAAGACTGACTGGTTGCATCTTTTATGTTTTTCAGATTTCTACAAAATTTAAACCCGATCTAGGTTTACAAGAAAGCACCTTTCCAAAGATAACAGACAGTCGTTTCGTATTTGCTACAGACTTTAAACCAAACTTATACATTGATGAAAACCCGATTCCCGACAAAGAGAATCAAGAACCAAGTCGAAGAAGGCGATATTGGATCGAATCTCGTTGTAGTGAGATGTTCGTCCGAATCAGACCAGGAACAAGGCGTAATTCTATTGATGCATCAGGCAAAAAGACGCCACCTGGGCGTTATAGTAAGTGCTTTACCTTATAATAATCTTATATACTGTAAACATTGTGTAGATTGCTGCTAGTATTCTATTCTTGGCATTAACATATATGTGCTTCTGTACCTTCAAACTTTCGTATTGCTTGAACAATGTTTTCACATTCTAATTGCTCTCCTTTCTTAGGTTTTTCGTAGTTTCCTATTTTTGTCCTCAATGCTCATTGACTCAGACTTTGAATTTAGCGTACCTGTGATTCTATATGCTACTTTGATCTATTAAAGTATTAGTATAAAAAATACCTGTTTTTTTTTTGTCTAAGTGTCTTTCCGTATTCTGTTCTTTATGTTATATTATTTTAGTTTGTAGTTCCTTCAAATTGTAATGTAGTTGTAGTTCTGTCATACTGTTATGTAGTTTAGAGTTATGTCATATTTTTATGCAGTTTGTGTAGTTCTGTGAAATTGTAATGAAGTTTGTAGTTCTGTCGTATTTTAATGTAGTTTGTGAAGTTCTGTCATATTGTAATGTAGTTTGCAAATTACATATCTTGTTATATTACTTTCAATGTCATATATCCTTTAACCTGAAGAGTACCGTTTGCTGAATTTTATTCGAATTCACTTTTATCATAAATGTTCTTGAATCAAATTCTTGGAAATTCATAGACACATAAAACACCGCAACTGTATTAATAGAAGGGATTGATTAGCAAAAAGGCCCAAAAACGTCGAAGGTTAACCTTCTTTTAAGTAGCTGCTTTCTTTTTTTTTAATCTTTCGACTAATAATTTATCACTATGTATGCAATTACGATATTGCGATTTCGAAATACTGAATTAAAGGTGTATACCTTTAGTACAGTGGACAAGTATGGCTGTAGACCAAACTAGATGTCATTCATATGATGCTGATCAAATATCTGATATTTTGCGTGTAAATACTTATTTCTATATCAGTTTATCATGACCAAACCTATATCTCCATCTTACCTATATAATAGATTACACAGATGAATGAAATGTTAATTAACCTCAGTTGTCATTCCCTAACCATAGTTGGTGTAAGACATGCACTGTCTGTTACTTTGAGTTTGGTTATTTAAAGGCGTGATTTGTCTAAGTTTATCTAGATTAAATTCTTGCAAGTCACCCTGGAATTAAGTGCTCCTATGAAATGAATCATGCAACTTAGATGGATAAAGGGCTAAGGGAATTATTCTTCTTTCAAAGCTCCTGAACTAACTCGATTTTATTAAACGCTTGGTAGTTGATTAATTGATTTTAGTAAAGTAAGTTTCAACCCTTTCAACAATCGGTGATCTTAGACAAGTTCTGATTTTTGACCATTTTTGGTTCTTCCCGAATCATTGTCCAAAAACACTTCTAGAATGTTCAGTCCACCAGCAACTTCTTAATGGGGTCATTATACAACATCAAGATCATATATTTGATCATGTAATATATTTCTTTTTCGAAAATGGTATGCTGGACATCAATTTCCGGCAAAAGATCACTTTGTGCTAACTTGGGAGCATGCCAAATAAGGACATCCGTGAGAAAAATGTAACATTTTCGAAATAAATTCACAGTTACATTCATTCAAATTTGACAATAAAAACATTTTCCTTGCGGAATTACTGCATGTGCTCGTTTTGAAATTTATCACAAAAGGTCCTTTTGATTTGGTTTCAAGATTATAATAAAGATCATCACTAACCATGGATTCTACATGTTCAATTCTTGTGGTCAAACTGAGGAGCAAGCTCATAAACAATGATTAGTTTTCTTTAAATTCAAATTAAGTCATGTCCATCCAAAAATGACAGATGTTTGGGTATAAAGTCATGCACAACATGCATTGAAATAAATCAAAATAAGACATCTAGTTAATTTGCGCTATGTTTCGTTTAATTCGGTATCTGACAGTGTCCATTTCTGGACAATAGATTTAATTCAGAAAGATTGTTTAACAGGCCTTTTTACTGTCAGAGCAGATGCTCTCAACCCTTTAATTGTATGTTGATTTAAGGACGACTTGTGGACCGCCTTCATGTTACAAGTCGTCTTTGAAAATGAAAAAAGAGGTAAATGAAATTGTGTCCTACTGTTTCTTTCATTGAGCGACAAGATGAGCGTCAAGTTGACTGTAAGATAAAAATGAAGAATTTCCAAGGCGAGTGATTCGATTAAAATATTATACTATAATCATTTTCTTGAATGTTCATATTCTACACACGTAGAAGTATGAATCTTTGCTAGAATGAAATTTATGGAGATTTAAATCCATGTTAATTTTTGCAGTGGTTGACTGTCACTCTATCCGTCAAACTGCATTCTTTTCATTCTAGCGTTAAAATTATTTCAATGTCCCACTGATATTAAGGCGACATCTTTTCATATTCATAAACTATATATATATTGCTTTCTTTCTATATCATTTATATTATTGCATGCATTGAGTGTATTATATAACGTACTACGGAATGATTGCTTAATAATAAATACCTTAAACTTTCTTCTTTTCATTAAATTTCTTGTAGCTTAAAATGTGTCATGTCATTAATGTTTAGAGTTTCAGTTTCAAATGGCGACAAACAATTTTTGCGCTTGTTCTCGTTTCATTTAAAAGTACTTCGCAATTAATATAAATCTAAACTGTTGGTTTGCCAGTTATGTTACTAAAAATTGCATACTAAATTCAGGCTGACGTCACGCGATTTCAACGAGATTAGGGTCAACAAGATGTGCTCAGCTTGATTAAATCTTATTTCTTAAGATTTTAGAGTAAATAATTAAAATATAAGAAGATAAAGGGATTGGGTATGATCATAATCTTTGACACAGTACCACACTTAGTGGAACTTTTTATTTGTACTTAAGCTTCATATATTTTAAACATTTTTCCTTCTTATTCTACATATATATGTAGACTATTTTTTCGGTATGCGTCTTTTGTGAATTTCATGGGTTATGAAATTTTATAAAATAGCGTTACTGACCATTTATTAATTAATTAATGTTTTCATTTAATGTTCCTATCCATGCAGAAACTGCCATTTATATATAAACAATAGTGTTGAAAAGTTTATCCAAAAATGTCTGTTAAGACACAGACCCCTAAAATTTTACTGATAACTAATAATCAGCTAAACCAACAACTCGTCATTGAATTAATCTCAGAGCAAATGATTAATGGTTTGAAAATCATTCAAAAACTAGTAATATGACAAGTAATTATAGAAATATTGATCAACTTTCGATTTCTGTAATGGTCTTCAGCAAAATGTTTTTTTTTTCTTCATATAATCTGCACATTTTAAGAGTAAAATGCACGATCTGTTGTGAATTCTTGTCCATAGTTCAAACTTTAATTTCTTTTTATATTTACAGCATCAATAATCATGGAATCTATAGGTCGTAACGGACTAGTAAGATTGCAAGGTGAAGATAGTCTTATGTACTTATGTTTCAACAATAAAGGAAGATTAAGAGCACGGGTAAGCATTAGTATTATATAAAGTACATTTGGTTTTAATGATAATCTACATTTTGTTGCTGAAAAGTATATGGAATGGAATAACGTTACTGAAAAATTTAGTCACTCTATACTTTTTAGAATCTTACTTCCTTTCATAAATTTTAAAGCTGAGCAAAGCTGTTATATCATTCTTTTGTTCAGTCTCAATTGACGTAATTAAAATGCATGATTTTCACGGACGTCATCACTAGTTGCGTTTAGGGTTAGGAGGTGCGTATCATACAATTGATCAGAAATCCTTTTATCCATACCATTTTCCATTTTTGTAAGAGGGTTGGTTTTGTGTTGATATTCATTTTTCCTTGGTTTTTGGTTGATAGCGGTCTAAGAGACAATCATATCATATTTCTTTTGTCAAAATTGATCACTACTCAAAACGACGGAAAAAACTTAAGGAATGTAATAAGCTAAGCATTGCAGAACACTCGATTCTCACTACCATTTGCAAATTCAGTTCATGATTACCTACTGTTTTCGAAGTTTCCTTAATCTAACCAGTATTTCATAGTGAAACGGTTTACGGTGCACTTGTAAACCAATTTTGATCTGAAACGGTCATTTCGATATGAACAGCTCTTAAAAGACCTAAGTTTTAGTTCATTTTCAGTCTTTCAGTCAATTTTCAGACCTATCCACTGGGGTAAATTCAGTACTGCTCGGACAATTTGCTTGTAGTCAATTAATATTTGTTCAGTCTATGTTCAGACTGTTCAGTAATTGTAATGAACCTGTCCACATCATACTTAATTGTCTGACAAGCTACTGAACAGTACTGATTGTACATGATGATGATGATGATGTTATGATCAAATGACCGTTTAGGACTAAATTCATTTACTAGTGGTGTTTTGTTATTATTCATTTTGAAAATTCGGTGCTGATGACAAATCTTCGATATTCTCTACTCACAACTTGACCTGATTTTTCTATCAAATCAATCTAATTGAATACATTTTAATCTAAATATGAATTTAAACTAATAAATATAAATAAAAATACAGACGAACAATTTTAAGCTTTACATACTGTATGTATTAGACGATTGTCTATTATTGAAGTCGACCATACGTTGACCTATAAATGTCTTTATTTTGTGTCATTCGTCCGTTGCCCGATAAACGTCTTATTTTATGTCATTCCTTTGTTGACCAATAGATGTCTTGTTTTGTGTCATTCGTCTGTTGACCAATAGATTTCTTATTTTGTGTCATTTGTATTTATGACATATATTTGTCTATTTTGTGGCATTCGAATGCTCCCTCATTGATGTTTACCCTACACCTCTTTTTATGCATAAGCCATTCGAATTGTCATTTGAAAATTTGAGAAATATAAAGTTAGCGTTCATCAGATTCCTTAGCATATATTTAACCCAGTTTGGCCAAATAAGAAAACCACGTTTATTGACATCAATCTTTCTAGATTGCTATCTAAACATTCCGGGTCGGTTTTTGGTACACGACGTCAACTGTTATGTTTTGGAGGTCTTACAATTAAAAAAACATCGTTTGTGTTTTTATTTATCTTGAACTATAAATGCAGTTTCTAATTGAATTTAAACCATCGACACTTTCGGCTAAATCTTTGAACTTTTCATAACTACACTGTTATTCTACGCTGTGCATTATACGTGAGCATTGATTTATAGACTAATTTTAAACAAATGTGAAAATAACATATTGATTCTTTAGCTCAATCTTGATAGGTTAAAACCACAGGGGGTACACAATCTTGTCTCTTTGTCACATGTAAGTGAAATGAGGATTTAATCAAGAAACTCTTTTTGACCTTGCAAAATCAACCTGTTTAATAACAAGAGAATTTCAAATCCTATTTTTTTTACAAATTACGTAAGGTTGACATCGGAAGAACAGTGTAATGTGTTCTCAGGATTACCTAACTTTTAAATCGAAATGACAGAGGGAACAACGACAATCACCCGAACATCAGGGTCTTGGGTATTAATTTTAAAACCGACAACCATACTTTGGCATTCGCGGTGTTATAATAAATGACAAATTTGCATGGTGAAATACACATGTATGCGTTCTACAATCGATGGCATGCTGAACTCGTTAGTATTTCATAAATATTATTCAATACAGCTTTGAATGTATTAAATAAAAAGAGATTATTCTTTGTGATTTCATAACACGTCTTTTTATTTAAATTACTTGAGGAACACCTGATTTTTCTATCCAAGCAATCTAACTGAATACATTTTAATCCAAATATGAATTTAAATTGGGTTCATCCAAAATATTTAACATTGTAGAATGAAAATTTCTGTTTTGAAAGGAACATCATATCTGATGTAATGAAGTGGAAGGTGCATATTTTAAAACTTGAGCGAACCCTACTTATTTCATAACAGACATATTGAATAATCCTTATTTAATTTTCATTCGTAAAGCAGAATTCCTGTTCCTAAGTAAATACAGTTATCAACCTACTGTTAAGTATAAGAGCTAATATGCGAAATTGATAAACTTTGCACTAAATATATCACGACACAAATTATATCATTGACGAAAAGTACATTTAAATTAAAAAGGAACCCTTGTCTTTTTTCTGTTAAACACATGTGAGTAAATACAAAACAAATTGCTATATGCAGGTGCTCATAAAACCATTAGAACAAGACAAATAATACAAAATACTTATCAGGGTTGTAACATGAGTATTTATTGAACACTACACTATAAATCATATTTTCAATTTCATGAGGGTCTCGAGAAAACGACAACCATAAAAAAAATTTGGACAAATGAAGTTCAGCATGTACTGACAGTCGTCTTTAAATAAACACGGTCGTTTATTTGTAACGTATAGTTTATTGTTCGATGTCAGTCACTCGTTTTAAGATTTACGTAAAACTGTAATAGCACACCTTATTTTTATAAAGACCCTCAGCAAAGGTTTTTCTTAATATGGTTTGAGGTTAAAAACTGTCGAAAACGATAGGAATGCCTGATATAGATAGCAATTTAAACAATTGTACAATTAATATGCAGGTGCTCGTCATGTAATTAGTGGAAATATAATCCCTTGGTATGGAAAGTAACTGTCAATCTTTAAAATATTTGAAATCAAAGGCAAAGTACAACACACCTGAAATTACTCGAAAAAAACCCTCTTCGATTTGAGACCTACATTCGTATGTCTATTAATTTCAAATTCAACTATGAACAAAGGCAAAACCACAATCTGTGGAATATTTCATATTAGTAAATACAAGATCCATACTCTCACAACTAAATGTTAACTAATATATTTAGATCTATTTACGATACAACTATTAAGTGCTAGGGTTGTCACACATCTATTAATAAATTACGGTCAAAACGATGTCCAGTGTGTTTAAAAGTGAGTGATCCTATTTTAAGGGTTTGTTATATAGATGCATTTAACTATTCATTGCAGAGGTCAGCCTACTTCCATGGCCGTCTTTGTAATGTTTCACTGGAATTTCAGTTCTATCTTTTCGTACGAATATTTATTGTAGTTTTCTGAACATAATACAATTTTGTTTTCATTTTCAGCATCATCCACTTGATAGTTGTAATCTTGTTTACAACATTACACATGACAAATATTATCAGTTCCGTTTAGCGGACGAAGATCATAAATGGTTCATAGGATTCAAGAAGAAAAAGTTAAGAAATTCTGTTCGAGGTAAAGCATTACCAGGCTATAAAAAGAAGCCAAACACTCGTTTAGAAAGGTGCTATGACTTCACTTTAATAGCGATAGATCAACATAATACAACGCCGTCACCGTATAGTCCAGTAAATTTTCATGAATATAGTGATAATTGGGACCCACAAAAGAAATTTCATAAATTAAGACGTATGAAAAAATATAAAGGAATGTTAAGAAAAGGACATAGAAAAATGGACAGACGGCGGCAGAAAAAGAAAAGACAAAAATCGAAGAAGCGAAAACCACCTGGTAGATGAATATAGAAAACTTAGCATTGTTTTCAATTATTTAACATATGCATTCCGAATGAGATCGAGCTGTGATGGGATAGAGGCTGTGATTTGTGTAGCACGTGACAGAAGATAATTCTGGTAAATCATTCGAATGCAACTCTACGGGCTTTCATTTATTTGTAAAATGAGCAGTGACAGAGGGACTGTTACGGAGGTTAATTTATTCATAACGGATGGAAACTTCGTATTCGTGTAATCTTACAATGAATTTAACCTTTTTCGTTTACGACACGAGATTATAGCTTTATGCATGAACACATAAGTAAATGTATAGTGTTGTACAAACTAGGATGACTACCTCCTACGTAAATATTGACCATTAAGGCATTGTAAAATATAAGAAATCCTTGAGCAAAAACCAATAAATTTCCAGAGACCTAAAATGTGCATTTATTACCAGTGAAACATTGGTCGGAAACACGGGTAAAATTACGCATTACGTATGCAATCACACTATAGAGAGACCATAGCATTGCTATTACAGATCTCCGAAACAATGACTAATGTGTCTTTTGTCTGATAAATAGAATTAAGTTTCGAAACTAAGGTTTCCATGATTTCGATTTTCTTCACTTTCATATTTATGGGTCGACCTAATATTTTTCAATAGCAATATGAGAGTGGAAGGTTTTTTTTATGCTGAACTAATGTAATGACGTAAAAAAGATATCTAAATCCACTGTTTCGGAGATCGCGTCATCTATTGTTTTTACACACCTTCTTGTGATATTTTTTAAGTAATTTTTTGTTAAACGAACATATATAGTGTAATAAATGTTGTCATACATAGCTAATCTGCATAGCAGTATGTTCTATCCTAATTTTGTCTTATGCCTGTATATTACGTCATAATATTATTATTACATTACACATTCCAATTCAGGTATTTCATCTATATCATACAATAAATACATGATAAATATGTGACTGTTTTCTTCTGCAATAAATTATTATTATTTAAAATTCCGATATTTTTGCAGGAGTATGTGCGATAGGACATTATTTGTGCACAAAAAATTTAAAAAAAAGGACTTATGTTATCTTTTGCTCGGTTGATATGTGTGCAAGTAAAAATACAGTAGCTTTTTGGGAAATGTAGTTAAATGTGAGTCTATTAGCCGGACAAAATGCATCTTTGAAACACATTTATCAAATATAAACAAAGTGCTAACCAACTTAATCTTTACAACTGATATCAGCCTGGAAAACTATGTTTTAGTTTAGTTTGTATTCTTGTATTTTCAAATAAAAACCTTCATGACGTCATTACTAAAACAAGTTATAACATTGATATAGTTTAACAGTATATCCTTATTTATTTCCTGCTAATATAGTGTATCAAATAAGTGACTTGTCGCATATACTCCTTAGTAGTACTATGAAAAAAGTAAACGAATACGAGCTATGAGTTCTGTAATTTTATATCTAGTCATGAACATGGCATTTTGTTTCATTACATGCATGCCTTCTTTCAAAAGTGAATTGCATGAAATAATTTTTTTCACTTCTTTGTAGCAATAGCGATAAAGAAATTTTCTTTCCTTTTCACAAATCAACATCATTCTTTTGCTAGATTAAAATATAATAATATTTTCAGTGTTCAGTACAAATGTAAAATTTTCCTTTAAAACCGGTTGAGGTTTTTCAAGATAATTCGCAAAACTAAACAAATCAATGCAAAAAAAAAATATAATTCTCAATTGAATATGTGGCCGTCGCCACATAAAGTTAACCCACAATGTGTTCAACAAAATTGAATAATATTTTAAAAAATGAAGCTTTTAGGTATTTTCAGTTACTATTAAAAAACACAAAAATTTAATTGACTTGCATTAACAAAAACATATTGTACAATAATTTTTCGTATAATTTTTCTCCTAATTAAAATCATACTGTAATCAAATTATTACACGAGACGGTAAGATTTGAAATCAAAACCATATTTTAATAGAGAACTCTAGGCATGTGTATAATGCGGATTTTTTTCCTTTCCGACTTTGGTTTGACCTTTACTGGAAGAACTTGGCCAGTAAAGATATTATGATGGTGCCTATATATGCTTTATTGTTATTGTTTTGTATGTAAATATTGACTGTAGTATATTGTTATATATGCCAAAGATATATTTATTATTAAATATTGCAATTTTTTGTTATAAATGTCCCATCAAATTTGTATTTATGCACATAGTGCAGTAGATACAATCGCAGAAATAAAAAAATATAAATATTACATTGTTGCTGTTTATGCCAAAAGTGGTAGTTTATACAATTTATACATGGAAAAAATAAGTTCTATTAATCAAGGCCTTAACGCTAGTCAATAATGAGGACATCATGTAAGGTGCTTACCGTGTTTACACTGTTTCATGTCTCTCGTGTAGGAATAAATCATTCGCTTTGCTTGAATGACCTCATAGAGCACAGGAAGACAGTATCTTGGCCAAAGGCTATATACAGACGTTCTTTTCTGTGTCTATACCAGACTCGAAATATGATTGTTAGGAATTGAAGGGTTTACATCAATGAAACAGAAACCAGATTACATTGAAAATAGACATTTAGTGGTCAATACAAGGTTGACAGTTTTTTTTTATACAGGGTGTGTATGCCATTCTGCAATATTCAGTAGTATTCAAATAAATTGTAATGCCTATTTTCAGGATTGTCAATAAACTTTGATTTATAGAATCACATTTGATTACGTGGATAAACGTTTGGTGTCTAAAATGGCCACGGTGGTTTCGTGGTAGCGTGTTCTCGATACCTTGTTGGTCAATGTTTCACTCAGCCGTCGTGTCAAACAAACGACATTATGGGATTCTTATTTCATTCCTTCCCTCAAACCATGTGGCACATAGAAATAAGAGCAAAGGCTGGACGTCTCGAATTCAGAATTATGTAAAGATTCGAATTATATCCATTCGTTTGATGTGTTTGAGCTTTTGATTTTGCCATTTGATTAGGGACTTTCCTTTTTGAATTTTCCTCGGAGTTCGGTATTTTTGTGGTTTTACTTTTTTCTCATATTTTAGTGCGAACTGCTATCTTATGAGCTAGGACATAAAAATCCGATTCGTCGGGGTTTTTCTAAAACAAAAACAATTTATACAGATCATTTCAACATTAATCGTCTTGAATATGCAGGTATTTGCTGTTGAACTAAAAATCAGCCGTCAATTATTTATCCGGTACGGGACGATTTCAGACTGTACTCATTCTTTTTAAGTTTTTTGTTTCAATGCATCACCTTTTTAGAAAAAAAAGTAATGTTTCTGGATAAAGTAAGATTTCCTTGAAAAATTAACACCTTTTAAGTATTACATGCTAATAGGAATGTGCATTATACTATTGGAAGAAAATGCAATCACTTTCCAGATCACATGATATAATCGCTGGCTTAAATGGAGTCTTTATGTCCATGGTTTCCTTCCACAGACAATACGGCACATGCAAAACATAAACATCAAAGATAAAAAATCAAATGTGCTTTGTTGGATGGGCATTTTTAGATTAACTTTCATCACTGACGCCAAAAGTCAAAGCTACATTAATATATAGCTAGAAAACAAGTGCGTGCCCTGAAGAGCATGAACTCATTATGCACTAACTCTTACTGTCATACACTGAAATTGTAATTTATTTTAAAGTAAATATTCATGTGCATTTTATGCATGAAACACAATTGTTTCAAATGGCTATTAATTTACTTGGTCAACTAAATGCACGAGTATTTTAAGTATGACAGATGACAAATATAAGGTCAAACAAGTTGTTTATAAAACAGCTCTGGTTATTTGAACAATTTGGTTATTCATTCCATTTCTACTATAACTATACATAATGTCAAAGCAAAAACCATATATGGAACTAACTTCATGCAAAATGTTTTTATTTCAATGAAAAATGACAGACTGATACATATGTATTTTAAAGCCGTTCTACAGCATAACACGTCCAGGTTGTCATTGTAGGAACATATGATGAGAAGAAATTGGAAAAAACGAATTCAGCAAAACTCTGTTAAACGCCTGATTAACTTTTCAGCAAATATCTGAACAATAACACAGGTTATTTGAAGTACAAGTTTGTACTTCAGATCTTCAATCCTCGTAATAACACACCCCAAGATTATTAATACTTTTTAAAACTTTTGCTGCAAATCCAGAACAGAAGAAAAATGCGTTTGGCCATGTCGTTACCTACCGTGACTTTTTTCTAATATATATATATATAATTTGTTTCCGGCAGTAAGCATATTTTGCTGCATGTTGAACTGTTGTCAGAAGATGGAACTTAATCCTCACCATAATGACAATATTGATCTTTTATTATAAAATGTATTTTACAAGTATAAAGTGACGATATACTGTTCATTGTTATTTTCTTCATCAGAGGTTACATAGTCAACTGGAATGTACATGAATATCAGTTGGTGATATTAATAATGGTTTCTGTTATTAATATTAATATATATTATCTTTCTCATATAAAACTACATAATGCTATGTTTATCATTTGTCATTTTCTATATGATAATAAATATAACATACATTTTATGCTTCGGTCTACTGATCAATGTGTATTTCAAATAATACACAAAAAAACTAACGAACTTGATTTCAGTTATTCGTGTTTTAGCTTTTGATATGCATGAATTAAACACATACCGTTTTTGCTTTCATTTATCAAATGAAATATAATATCTGAAGCAGATACGTTTCAGTATTCAGGTAAAGAACCATTAATTTGGATGCTCGGTTGGAGAAAATATCTAAAAACAGTGCCTTTTTCATAGTTCCTTCATTTCAGTGAAAATTTTCAACAATGAAGGATATTTAAGCAAACTTTGAATCGCATAAAAAGCTGTACATGCGTGATAATGATCTTTTATTGAATAATTTGCATACGTTTATAATTTTGATGTACAGTAGAAACTTCTACTAAATCCGATTAAATGTATGCTGATTTTTATAATACTAGTTCAGCAAGGGTGCAGTTTCAATCATATATAGTTGCATTTGGCTCGAACATAATATGAAAAGAACATAAAAACTTTATATTACAGAATTAAGCATAAGAATGAAGTGGTTTGTGAATTATTTGTTTAATAAACAAATAACCTGTTAATACGATATCGAACATGCATCATCAATATTATAGAACGATTTGGTAGAATTTGAATATATAAGTACAATTGATAATAATCCTAATGTTCTATGTTAGGGCTTATTTCATTGGAGGTCATCATGGGAACTAAAAGTTTATGCAGGTATATAAACCCGTTTCATGACGTCACGAGTATGAATTCAAACATAGGCAAAATACTTAATGTTGAATAATGTTTTTTTTTTTTTTTTATCAGGACATAAATTTTAATGCATTTAATTGATAAAATAGGTAAAGGTCATTCTTGTTATTTTTCGGAGATTGTTTTTAAAGTAAACTCAGCCTTTCAGATCCTTCCCGAAGGTATTACCAGCCCGGTAGTCAGCACTTTTGTGTTGACATGAACTATCATTGATATGTTCATATTTATAAATAAATTTACAAAACTGTTCGAAATACTAAGGATTTTCTACCCAAGAAATTGATTACGTTAGCTGTGTTTGGCAAAACCTTTCGACATTTTGGGTAGTCAATGCTCTTAAACTTCGTTCTTTACTTGACCATTTCATTTTTTATTCGAGCGCCACTAATTAGTTTTTTGTAGATGAAACGCGCGTCTGGCGTACAACATTATAAACCAAGTATCTTCGCCGATACGATGCCACTGCTGATAGAGGTTTCCTCCCCGAGGGTATTACCAGCTTAGTAGTCAGTACTTTTGTTTTGACATAAATTATCATTGATAGGGTCATTTTTAAATTAACTGTTTACAAAAATTTGAATTGTTCGAAATACTAAGGATTTTCTACCTCAGAAATAAATTACGTTAGTTGTGTTTGGCAAAACTTTTCAGCATTTTGGGTATTCAATGCTCTTCAACTTCGTACTTAGTTGGCCTTTCAACTGTTTTAATCGAGACTTTTTGTAGACGAAACGCGCGTTATGCGTTCACAATTATATGCTTGGTTTCTTTGATGAGTTTTTGTACAACTAGCGGGTCGATGCCACTGCTCACCCGCGGGTATTGACAGCCTAGTTGTTAGAAATTCCGTGTTGACAAGAATTAACATTGATATGGTCATGTTTATAAATTAACTGTTTACAAAACTTTGAATTGTTTGAAATACTCATGATTTTCTACCCCAGAAATATATATATATATTAGCTGTATTTGGTTAAACCTTTCGGCATTTTGGGTATTCACTGATCTTCAATTTCATACTTTATTTGGCCTTTTATCTTTTTTGATTTGAACTCCACTGATGAGTGTTTTGTAGACAAAAACGCGCGTCTGGCGTACAAATCATAAGCCTGATATTTTTAATGAGATTTGTTTCACTTACCTTACATGAAGTCCTTTGAATTAACCTTTATAACTATAATAAATCGTTATTAACATTGCGAATATACGTGGCTTCAGCCAGTGGTTATCATTTGCACTAGAAAAAGAAAAGAATGCACTATAAAGAACATTATGTTAATTTGCAATCGCAAAGTTCTATATATTTAACTGTTAACGGTTTCATGAACTTACATTTCTGTTAAGGGAATCTATTTTAAATCAAGACATCAAATAGAATACCAATCACCCCATCTATTTAAAATTAACAAAATCGTTGAAATGGTATCGTTTTTTTGTACTGTACGTGGTAAGGAGTAAAAAAAATGTTTAGAATGACAAAAATAAAAATGAAGAGGTTATTGTTGGACATCCATTTCTCTCTTTTAGGGGACATTTAACAACGTGGTAAGGAGAAAAAATGTTTAGAATGACAAAAATAAAAGTGTAGAGGTTATTGTTGTACATCCATTTCTCTCTTTAGGGGACATTTAACAACGTGGCTGAATAATGAAAGTCGGACATGGTCAGTAAAACACACAACTTAAACGTTATTTATGATTTCATGGATGCTACGGAACCAACCATTTTTTAAATAATACCTCGAAGTTCGGGTTTAACCTTTGTCTTGTCATTCAAACTATGTCCAAGTCGTACCAATATTTTTATTTATTAGACAATAATATTTCATAGACCACAAACTCAGGGGATTAAATTGTTTGGTCAGCTTTAAAAACCACATGACATACCATAATGTTTGCAATAAAGGGTCAAGTTCAACACAA